ATAGGACTTGAGGGCCAAAGGGTACCCCCCAATAATAGGACTTGAGGACCTAAGGGTACCCCCAAAGTATAGGACTTGAGGATCCAAGAGCACCCCCAATAATAGGACTTAAGGACCTAAGGATACCTCCAAAGTATAGGACTTAAGGCCGCAAGGGTACCCCCAAAGTATAGGACTTGAGGACCTAATGGTACCCCCAATATAAGGACTTGAAGACCTAAGGGTACCCCCAAAGTATAGGACTTGAGGACCCAAGGGTATCCTTATAGTATACCACTTGAGGACCTAAAGTATCCCTATAGTATTGCATGACACAAACACTTGAACTTTAAAGAAAAAGTTAAAGTTAAAGTGCCAAAATTTTTACTTTAATTAAAGTTTAAAGTTCTAAAATTTTTCACTTTAATTAAAGTTTAAAGTTTAAAGTGTTTCACTTTAACTTTAAACTTTAAAGTTTAAAGTGCAACTTTAACTTTAACTTTTAAAGTAAAGTTAAAGTGCCACCCCTAGCTTAAAACATTCGAAAACTCGGCAAATGATCATACTTCCAGTTATGACATAACTTTCTATTCGAAGACGATCGATTGAGAATGTAACGAAAGTATATTTTGTAACAATCTCCAATAACGTATGAAAAGTTGATATTCAAGTCGACATGGAAACTTAGAAAAAAAAATGTATTGTCAATTTGCAATTTCACTCTTCCTTTTCAGTCCAACACGTGTAGAATAAAATAATCCAAATTTTATCAATTCTAATGTAGTACGAAGATATTTCGTGAACAAGTTATAAAAAGATTTAATTTAAGTCATCAATATTCTTGACAGAAGCCGCCGATTTCAATTTGTTCTTTATTATAAACATTGAATAATTCCATCGTATCCTAGGAAATAGTTTGGACTTTCTGAGTAAAAAAATAATAAACATTTCTGTTACATGCTTTTTGTTGTCTTTCAATTCTTTTATGGTAAAAAAATTTTATGAAACTGTTTGACATGATCGTCAGTTCATCACAATGTCCAACATAGGTCAAACTTTTGTGATTTGACTCGAGTTAGACAATGTCTTATCAAGTATTCATCATATGGCATTATTCACTTCGCTGCTGCATTGGATATGAATGCATTCAAAACATTTATGTACAAAACTTCAATCCTTGAAATCATGTCTCTGATTTTTTTAATCAGGAAAAATTAAAGAAATGATCAAGCGCTTTACAAACATAGGATTTGAACGACGAAAGATATTTTCAATCTCGATATTCTCTCTCATCTATTAATGTTTTTTGAATCTTTGATTGTCTTGTAAAAAAAACTAAGCTACTCAAAGAACGAAGTTCTTAAGCAAATTATGAATTTGAATTGTTTTATTTTTCTAGCTTACGTGTTCATAAATCCTTTTTCATCTTCGACAATCTCTGACATAGACGGCTCTCCAGCTTCTTTAGTGTATGGTCATTTCAACAGTGATAAATACATTGATTTGGCGATTCTCAACTATGGAGGTCAAAGCATTGATATATTGGTTGGCAATGCGAACGGCAACTATCTGACGCCGACAACAGCTGATACCGGCTTAGGTCCAGTTTTTGTGACTTTATGCACGTTGGGTGGTAACAAAACAAGATATCTTATCGTAGTTAATAAAGAAGATGGAACAATTAGCGTGCTGGAGATTAATGAAGATGGAACATTGGATTTTCAGATGTACTATGCAGTTGGTAATGAACCAATTTCTGCTTTGTGCGGAGATTTTGATAATAATTCAGTTATTGATGTGGCAGTGTTAAATAGGTTCGACAGCAATGTGTTGATATTGCTTAATTTTCCAGATGACAATTATGAATATAGATATCAGTATGACGTTGGGACAGATCCAATCTCTATGATATCTGCTGATTTTAATAATGATTTGAAACTGGATCTGGTACTCGTCAATCAAGGTGGTAACAACATCGGTGTACTAATTGGTGATATAGATGGAAATTTTCAGACACCAGTGATGTATGATGTTGGAAAACAACCAACATTTGTGGTATTGGGAGACTTTAACAATGATACGAAACTGGACTTGGCAGTATCTAATAATGGAAGCACTTTCATCAGTGTTTTGTTTGGTAATGAAAATGGAACATTCCAGACTCAAGTACCTTGTGAAGTTGGTAATGGTACAAATACTGTGGCAGTGGCGGATTTAAATAACGATGGTATATTGGATTTGGTAGCAACTATTTCGGGTGAATCTAATGTTATCGTGCTATTCGGCAATCGTAATGGAAGTTTTCAAGGTGGAGTAAAGTATCAAATCAGCACTAATTCGACTGCTATGATAGCTGCTGATTTCAACAATGATAGCAGACCAGATCTTGCATTAACGAATATGGATGACAACACAATCAGCATACTAATAAATTATGGAAATGGAACATTTCAATCTCAAGTCAAGTATGCTACTAAAAAGAACCCAATATTTCTTATTTCGAGTACTTTAAACGAAGATACAATTTCCGATCTGATAGTGGTTAACTACGGAGCAAACAGTCTTAGTTTGGTGATAGGTAATGGAGATGGAACCTTTCAAGCTCGAATACCATTTCAACTTTTCTACATAGCAACCAATATGGCAGCTGGCGATTTCAACAAGGACAACAGAACAGATCTAGTAGTGACTAACGAAGATGATGACAATATTAGTATATTACTGACCACTAAGGACAATATCTTAGAAAATCGAGGTACATATCAAAGTGGAGCCTCACCAAAATTCGTGATTGTGAATGATTTCAACGGGGATGCTAAATTAGATGTGGTAGTTGTCAATCAAAGAGACAACAATGTCAGCGTGTTACTCGGTAATGCTGACGGTACTTTTCAAAATCAAAGTTCCTTTGCCACTGGTACACGACCAATTTCTGTAGTATCAGGTGATTTTAACAAAGATAAAAAAGTGGATCTGGCAGTGACTAACTCAGGTAGTCAAAATATCAGTGTCCTATTAGGTAATGGAAACGGTACCTTTCAATCTCAACGATTCTATAAGACTGGAAAGAGTCCAAATTCTGTGGTAGTACTTGACTTAAACAGTGATCAAATTAGTGATCTAGCAGTGGCCAATCAGGGTGAAAATACAATCAGTGTTTTTATTGGCTATGGAAACGGAACCTTTCAGGATCAAAAAAAATTTAATGCAAGTCGCAACCCAAGCATTTTATTGTCCGGCGATTTCAATAATGATAAAATACTGGACATAGGAGCGATCAGTAATCGCTGGAGTTCACTTTCTATGTTGATCAGTAGTGGAAACCTCTCTTTTCCTTACCAGAAAACTATGAGTATTGTTACTTCTCCAACGGCTGCAATAACCTGTGATTTTAATAATGATGAAAAAATAGATATAGCAATAACTGGCAAAAAGGAGAACACATTGAGTGTGTATCTATACCGAGACAATTAGTTGCTCGCTCAATTCTCGATTTATTAAATATCAACTAACTATTAATGGTATCTTCAAGCTCTCTATGAACTATGATTATTTCATTGACAATTTTTAACTACAAATGTTTTTGGGTGAATCCGTGGGGTATCTACCACTTTTGGGAAGAAAGGTATTCTGTGCCAGTGTTCTGAAAGAAAGTTTTTTTTCTCGATTTTAATAGTCTAGTTAGACGTAACGTCGTCGAAAACGGTCTGAAGTAACAATTAAAACTATTCGAACATATAAAATGTGGAGACTCACATCATTTTTTAGGAACACTCTACACATATAAAGAGTATTCCATCACAACTGATGATAAATTGTTAATCATATTTTTCATACTTTTTCTTGACATCGAGAGCCAAAATTCTTATCACATGTATCTAATCAAGATCTTTTATTTCTGAAAGTTTTAGCTCTATAACGAAAACTAGTAATGAAATATAAACAATTTTTGCACTGATTTTTGCAATAGTTTCATAGTAAAAATATATAAAAATTGGATACGAAAGTGATGTACTTTAGTCTTGTCGATGTATTTCACCACTAGTTTTGGCTAGAGAACTGAAAATGTCAGAAATAAAAGATCTTGATTAGATATATATGTGATAAAAATTTCAGCTCTATATATGAATAAAAAGTATGAGAAATAGGATTAACAATTTATTATAGGATACTCTTTATGTGCGTGGAGTGTTCCTAAAAAACAGCTTGGATTTCCATACTTTTCATGGATAAAAAGATTTTAATTGTTACTTCAGTCCGTTTTCGACGATGTTACGTCTAACTAGCCTATTAAAATTAGAAAAAAAAATTTCTTTGAAAGTGGTAGAAACCCCACAAACTCACCCTTTTTTCATTCTTTACATAACTATTAGGAAGTCTAGCTTGTTGATCTTAATTTTATTCAAGAAATCTTCCTAAACTATATATTTCTATTATGCTCTCTTCTTTTATCTAACAATATCGACGTATTCAATGGCACATGTTCATTGATTTTTATTTAATCATTTGCTTTTTTTTATTGTATTTTTCTTACTTAGAAGCAAAATAGAATACAAAAATAATCATATAGACACAATGAGTTGCAAAGGAAAAAACAAGTCGATTTTGTCTTCAAGTTTTAAGAAAGGACGTGGGTGTGAGTTTTGGATATATTCGGAAGGCTTAATCACACCCACATCCAAACACACACTTAAATTCAACTTATACGAATCAAATATCTGTCGTCTTTGTCTTCACTTGCACTTTTATAGGTCTCAAATTCAATGAAAATCAACAATTTTCTAGAATAATTTGCCTCTCCAAATGTATTACGTATATATTCCTTCGGGACAAACCTTTCTTGTGTCGCGATCTCGAATATTTCATACAGAAAATTTTCAAAAAAATCTCAGTTGTGCCGTGGGATGGAACAAAAAGAATTTGTCAAGATTTGGGGCGTGTTCCACTGGACTCTGAATTACGACATGTAACATTAGGTGTGAGATATTGTCATCGAGGTCTACTAAACCTATTTTTAACAACCTCAAAATGATCTAAATTTAAAGCACATGGAATTTTATGGTGATCAGAAAAATTTATGAGCTATCGTAATCAGTCAATTAATGTTATCACTTACATATATTTCATTTACATACTTCTACATTTATAATCAGTATTCCAATTATTCGAACTTTTCGTTAAGTGATTTATTGATATTTAAATTCTTTGAATGAATATTAAAGTACATCATGGAATTGATTAGAGCGTTGAATGGGTGTTGGTGTAGGTGTCACTGTTCCCTTTTCTCATACCCACACTCCACATCCTGATATTGTAAATTTTCAATTTCATAATTTTATTCTAAAACTGGGTTGTAACATAGTTTTGAACGCTGACGTTGCTTTGGTTCAGGTGCCGAGTATAATCTTATACTCGAAGTCGATCCAACAACTGATTTGATCACGACGGTTCAAAATATTTCAAATTTTTCAAAAGCGAAAATTGATGTGATAATGATGGAATACTTTATTGTACTTGAAAGCACACCACAGAAGTGCAAAGTGATGTCATTTCCGTAAAAGAACTCGTTTTCAGCGAAAATTTAATCTACTAATAGTTACGATGCCAAATTAAAAGTGTATTTAAGCGAAACTAATCAAATTTTAGAAACAAAAAGACACCGAGAGAGTCCTGAATCGCTTACTTTTCGGTGGAATTCGATGTTTTCTTTTGTTTTTATTATTGGTTTTTATGGAAAAAACTGAACAGTTTCGTATGAAATAAAAGTTCAAAAATCATACTAGCACTGTGAAAGTATTTGCTTTATGTCAATTAGCTTCGGTTAGGTAGCAGTTTTGGATTGAAATAAAACAAATCTCGGTAAACGACCTGTTGGGTACATGTGCAGAATAAGCACACCATCAATATATATATTTATTGATGGTATGCTTACTCTGCGCACGTACCGATTATTCGAGGTGTTGAAGATCCACGACGTTTATAGTAATTCGATGAATCATCTTCACCACTCGTATCTAAAAGAGGTTTTTTCAGAAGTGTTTTTTTCATTTATAAATAAATACTACATATCTGAGCAAGAAGAAAATCCAAGACGGGTGAATGAATAAAAAGAAATTCATTTCTATAGAACAAAAAACACAGAAATTTATTGATATCGAATAGTATTAAGCGTGGCTTTCTTTCGATGCATGTAGGATAGAAAGTAGGTAAAAAACTAATCATAGTTGTGTGATAATGTATACCGTGAATCTCTCTCTCTTTCATTCTATGTTTTTTGTATATATATAGAGACAGAAAGTGTACATTTGCCGAGATTTCGGTTTATATATACTAAATTCAACACTAAGAATAAAGAACAGAATTTAAAGAAGAAATAAAATCACCAGATAACCTTATCAAATAATGGTCATCTCTGGATATCATAATGAAAACATATTATATTCGATAAAAAGTTTATTCAAATCCAATGACATTAGGATTTGATATATTTAAACAATAATCATAAGCTGATTTCACTATCACAATGTTGATGCTTCTCATCGTATGAGATTTTCAAACAGCTATTTTGAATATTCTCTTGTCAAAAATAATTATTGTCCATTTCAAAATATAATGTCCTCCACTGTTTTGTGAATAATTCGAGAACACCAACAGCTAGAGATCTGCAATTTTCACCAATCAAAAGAGGAGATCGGGGGACGTCTTTTTCTCCAGTAATGTATAAGAGGAAATTCTTTTAAAACTAATTATTTTCGAAAAACATTTAAAAGAAGACATGAAAATAACCTGCCATCTCGATGAAATTTTGATTTTGACCTTTGAGTTAGATAGAGGGACTTCAAATCTGTAGTTCAAGATATAATGGGTTTCCTTACTTGTTATTACATTTCCATCGAGATGTCAAGTTATTATGACAAAAAGTGAGAAAACTTAGTAAAAAATTAGCAAAAATCCCTATTATTTGCGCATGTAAACACATGATTTAATTTGCTCAACATTCGAATCTAATACGAGAACCAATTTGCATTGTATCTTGAACTTGAGATTTGAGGTTCCTCTATCTCAATTAAAGGTCGAAATCAAAATTTCATCTAGATGGCAGGTCATTTTTATGTCTTCTTTTAACTGTTTTTCGAAAACAATTAGTTTTAAAAGGATTTTCTCCTATATATTATTGGAGAAAAAAGATGTCCTCCGGTCTCCTTTTTCGATTAGTGAAAATTGCAGGTCTCTAGCTGTTGGTGTTCTCGAATTCTTCAAAAAATAGTGGAGGACATTACATTTTGAAATGGACAATATAGTTAGATTTTCCTATAGAATTAATATTATGCGAAAAAAAACAGAAACAAAAAGTGAGTGCAGCGCAAAAACGAGAAAGTGACACGTAGTAAACAGAAATGAAAACTGCTCTATAATTCATGTTTTTATGATAATATATCATTATAAGCACTAGAACGATACTGTTTTTATTTTGTTTGAGCTCTTATTATTTAATACAGATAGATCTCATTTTTGACAAACTTTTATTTGATATAAAATTTATTGT